TTATTTTGTAAGCAAAGATGGATAGTGGCTAGCAGTGGAATCCAGGACGCGCGTTCCGTCCTATTTGAGATTCGTCAGCTGGATGTACCTTCATCTCAGAGTTGATGTTCATTCGGGGACTCGAACCCGGTACCTTTCGCTTTACTTTTTTAATTCATAATTTACCTAGAAAGCGTCCAATATTCAATTTATTTCAAAGGTTTATTTAGTCAGTTAATCAAGTTAGTCAATTAACATAGTGAAAACCAGAATAGTTTGTATCAATCGGAGCCATCATCTGTTTTGTTGTGATGTTAGTTTGACTGTTAGATATAAAGGGAGGTTAAGATCGTGGAAGAATGAGGAACTGAACACACTGTTTTTGTACGCAAAACTTAGGCTAAAACTGGAGGATAGTAATAGGCTATTTTGCACATAAGATTTTCATTTGCATTCCTATTGAACTGACTATTATAACTGTGCGTATGATTTTAAAGGAGGCTTCTGCTGAAGTGAAATAGCTATAATTGACTAGATACTGCAAGATTGAGCTATTGACTAACTTTTGTAATCCTTTTGACAGCTAGGCAGGGTAATGTTCGAGAATGAGTTTTGAAAGAGGTATGGTTTAAAACGTGTCAGTGAGAGCATTTCTGTTGTGTGCTTGTGGAACATGATTCCTACAAGTTGAGAATGCTCATTGACTCTCTGCTTCGAACCCAAAACCTTCAGACTCCAGAATGAGCGTTTAATCTTTAGACCACTATCTTAGAACCCAATGTTTTATAGTAAATTGTATTCGGATATAATATAAACAACCGCTTCACACAATAGCAAATATGGAATTTATGTAAGCACTCAATACTACAATACAACAGTCACTTAACACACTAATTGATTTTAAAGATATAAGAATAATGATTTTAAATACATTTCCAAATTACTGAAATATAAATATCCAAAAACACAGATAATATACGTTAAAGCAACGGTTTAACTACAATTCAATATAGTATTGAGAGATCCGTTGACCATTTATTCAAAGCTAAAACATTTTAAAGATTAGTAATTGCGGGAACTAATTTATGTGAAGATGTTTTTGTTTCATTGACGTACAATAACCCCATATACGTTAGTGTACTTGACTTTGAGACAAACATTTATGTGTAAAAGGTCGGATCTACAACGCGTCGGTGAGAGCAGTTTTACACTATGCTTGTGAAACGTGGCCTCTCCGAGTTGAGGATGTCAGACGACTCTCTGTGTTCGATCATCGTTGTCTCTGAAGGATTGCTGACATCCATTGGCAACACCATGTTAGTAATGCAGAGGTTCGGCATCATGTTTTCGGGCGCAGAGACAATAATTCAATTGATGTTACCATCTTGAAACACCAACTTCGGTGGCTTGGACATGTTTTATGGATGTCGTCCTAGAGAATTCCATGTCATGCATTATTTGCCGACGCTGGGGCTGGTTGGAAAAAGCGGAGAGGTGGTCAGTGTATGACATGGTGTCGTGGTACGAAAGAAAGCTGCAAAGGGCTAGCTTCTGTTGGTCCTTCACGACTCCCTGGCTGGGGTCCGAGAGGTGGTGCAACACAGTGGCTAGAGACGTTATCAGATATGGCTCAGAATAGAAGCCAGTGGAGAGCCTGCTGTAACCTTCTTTTACTTTCTACATAAAGAGTGGTTCTAACTTTTTTAACTGAGTCTTCCGGTTGTACATTTCAGTCCCCCATATTTTTTCATCCTTTCTCTTCCTATTTTCATTATACTGTGTGGCGCACATGTAGACAATCGTTGTGGAGTTCAAACTTGAAAGATGAGCGGTTTAACTAATGGACCTCCCTAACTGTTTCATATTGATCCTAACAAGATACGATGCTATTTTTAGTAACCTTGTTTATTCAATTTCTTTTGTAAATGTAATTCATAAGTCGTAACTCTATTATTTATATATCAAGGATCGATTTCTTACATTGTTATCGAGATATCTAATTACTTGACAATCTGATTCAAGGTATTGTATTTGTTGGTACATCCTACATGAAGCCTAGCTCAAGTTCTGGAAAAGTTTATTTACAGTATGTTTGTTAAATAATTTCAGTAGACATTTAAGCAAAGTAGTGCTCCATGAAGATAAACTGAGCATCCTTATCATTTTGATGTCTTTTTTCTGGAAAGACTTATTCGAGTGGTCTACTATTTTCGCATGGTATTTTAAACCCCAAAGGTGTAGATGAAATGTTTTACAATGATTACTTAAAGATATTATCAGCCCCCGATCAGTGGTTGGTGACTTCGCTCAGAATCGATTTCAGTGGTTCAGAGACACTCATCTTTCTTCTTCATAAACGCCAAGAGTTCCATACATACGTTTTCAGTCCATCTTCCCGAACCCTAGTCTTGATGTTTAGTTAACATTTCTACCACAAATATCCCGATTATTTCGCTACTGAAATTACTAATTTGGTCTTGTCATATCGACGTGGTATGGGAATTAAGGCTAATGCAAATTTCTCTTAGGCTGTACATTGATTATGGCTATGATTTTGTTAATGGACGATTCACACTTTTCAGCTGATAAGCCTCTATGTTAGATGGTAGGAGCCAATTTTATTTATTTAAACACATAAACATTGGTACACGGAGGCACCAAATATATACGCGCCACACAAATCAGTCGATTTGTGTGAGGGCTAGAATACTACATGGGTACCAAAACCGAAGCAGATGGTTTTCTTAGGGAGCCACATCTGTGGCCTTCGACGTGAAGGTCTAATCCATAAGGCAGTAGAGCAACGTCACAAGATGTAGTCCCATGATAGCCGGTAACCAACAACTGGTTTATACTCCATTTGTTCCTTCAAAACGCTGGAGCCCATATGCACCGTTATTTTGGAATCAGGGTTCTCCAACTCCACTAGGTGGACCCTCCGTGTCCACCAACCCGATTAAAGGGTCGGGGATTTGCTTTTCGCCCTCTCTATTTAGTAAACAACACCCCGGCCACGAGAAGGCAGTGAGTAGGACTTCCCTGTCAGAGGCTATATACGCGTAGCCATGTGAGAGCATTTCGAGAGACAGAGTGGACTCTCCCCGCTCTCGGCTGTACCAGGGCATTTGGAGGCGATAGGAGCCTAACCAAAATATGGAACGATCGGTGAAATTAGTAAAGGGAGTCAACTGTATGAGACCAACAGAATGGCGTTAACAAGAAATTGTGCTGTAAGTAGCCTACCAGTTTGACATTTTGAAGATGCATTTATTGGACTGTCGGAGAAAAAATAGGAATGCTTTGATTTTGACCCAGTAGTGTATGTACAAATACACTTGGATCAGATCTTTTATATGATCATGTAGTAATGCTACGGGAGACCCCTATGCTATTGAAGTAACTCCTCAGTACTCTTCAAATGCCAATTGGTCGCCGCGGTTATTTTATTTACATCAAGCGAATCACCAGAAATCACATTATTGTGTTAACCACTGCATATTCTGCAAATCTATTGCATAATAGACAAGCCGAAAACATTACTGAGTGCTTCATTGAGGTCCCCAACTGGTCTAAGTCAGATAACCATTGAGAATCTGGGCTCAATTTCCGGTTGTGCACCACTGAGGGGTCCGGTGCTAAGACGATACAGCCATCCAACGCCACCAGATCTTTGATGGTCGACTAACTTAGATTGGTTCACGATCTCAATGGAACCCAACAACCTCCACGAACTATACCGTTAATCACTAAGTAATCCTCATTACTACTAATTTATTAAATAACAAGTAATCAATCAACATCCCCATACTCCTACTAACAAATGTTGAAAAATACTAAAAAAAAACCGCAACTGCACCTTCGCTGTCGTTTAAGTGAAAAGACTACAACCTATTTTATCAGTGTTGAATGCAGTTCGGCCAATTAGAAATGGTAAACACACAATTTGAGACATGTGATGAGTAAGTGAGAAAATTGTCGAGTTTGATGGCGAACATTGTCAGTCAGTCACAACGTAGAACTTCGTACGTACGTACATCAGTTCGAGTTGCCATACCACATTAGCACAGAGATGCAGTTGTCGATTCAAATCCCATTGTGGTAGAAGTAGTAGGAGTATAATCAGAAATCCAAAAGATTAGGGTTTGGAGAAATTATTGAAGGAGTATAGTACAGTGAAATAAATTTGGAAATAGAATAAGACAAAGACATGAGGAATTCAGAAGATTAGAATTTGGTAGAACACAAAGAGTGGATGCAACTTCGCCATTGCAAACGATTTTGAGCCATGTCATTCAAGGTCTTTAACCATCGGTTGCTGTCATCTCGCGAATCCCAACCAGGTAGTCTACACCTACCAACATGGCCCAGTCCACTTGTCAGTGACCTCATGGATTTGTGCCACGTTTTGGTCTGGCCACCATTGGATAGGCCATCAATGAATTGAACACAGATAAAGGCCAAAACAAGACATGTAAGTCAACTCCGGACTCGATGACTGTTAGCCCACAGCTGATACGAAAGTGAGTGGGCCCTGACCGGGATCTAGTGACTGAATACCGTACATTCACAACTCGTCTTCCGATTTGAAGTTAACTAATCCTTACATCTGTCAGCTAATTTTCTGTGACTGATTTATAGATTTCGTTTGGAGAGTAGGATGTCATAATAGACACGTGAGTTTCTGAATCTGAATACCTGGATGTTGCAACCTATAAAATACGAAGTACAGAAATCCCAACTAGTATAAGTATGACAAGTCCTAAAGTATTCACTTCGTAACGCCACCACATGACTCTCGAGTCTACTGATGAACACACCAAAACCCCTAACTAATATCCCATAATTCATTTCCAAGACGACCTAGTCACGTTTAGTAGTGTGTCGGCACCCAGTGGAAATGTTATAAGCAACTTACCTTAATCAAAAAGGCTATATTAGATGCTAGTCTTATCAACAGTTAGAACGCTACACAGGGAAAACTCCACAGTACTGACACAATGGCACACGGAAAAACCACAAGTAGTTATAAGATAAGTATATTAGGAACGAATAACAACCAGAAACATAACACTCAAAAGAAATGAAACCTAATACTCTTCACCTTCCCCTTCACCCTCGCCATCAACGCTGTCAACACCGACCTCCTCGTAATCTTTCTCGAGTGCGGCCAGATCTTCACGAGCCTCAGAGAATTCACCCTCTTCCATACCTTCACCAACATACCAGTGTACAAATGCACGTTTTGCGTACATTAAATCAAATTTATGGTCTAAACGCGCCCAAGCTTCGGCTATTGCGGTTGTATTACTCAACATGCAGACAGCACGTTGAACTTTTGCCAAATCACCGCCAGGAACAACTGTTGGTGGTTGGTAGTTTATACCTACCTTGAAACCTGTTGGACACCAATCCACAAACTGGATAGTACGTTTAGTTTTTATTGTTGCTATGGCAGCGTTGACATCCTTGGGGACAACATCACCACGATATAACATACAGCACGCCATATATTTGCCGTGACGAGGGTCACATTTCACCATCTGATTTGCTGGTTCGAAGCATGCATTTGTGATTTCTGCAACGCTTAACTGCTCGTGGTAAGCCTTCTCAGCTGAAATTACTGGTGCATAGGTAGCCAACGGGAAGTGGATACGAGGATAAGGTACCAGATTAGTTTGGAATTCCGTCAAATCCACATTTAGCGCACCATCGAAGCGCAGTGATGCAGTAATGGAACTCACTATCTGACCAATTAGACGATTTAAATTTGTGTAGGTTGGACGCTCTATATCTAGATTCCGTCTAAAAAATATTGTTTAATTCACTGAAACAGCAACTTACCGACAAATATCATAAATGGCCTCGTTGTCCACCATGAAAGCACAGTCAGAATGTTCTAATGTTGTATGTGTAGTCAAAATGGAATTATATGGTTCAACCACAGCTGTAGCAATCTGTGGTGCAGGATACACAGCAAACTCCAATTTCGATTTTTTGCCATAATCCACACTCAAACGTTCCATCAGTAAAGATGTGAACCCAGAACCAGTACCACCGCCAAATGAATGGAAAATCAGAAATCCTTGAAGTCCAGTACACTGGTCAGCCAACTTGCGAATACGATCCAAAACTAAGTCCACTATTTCCTTCCCAATTGTATAATGACCGCGAGCATAGTTATTAGCAGCATCCTCCTTACCAGTTATTAATTGTTCTGGATGGAAAAGTTGACGATAAGTACCAGTTCGCACTTCATCTACTACAGTTGGTTCCAAATCTACGAAAACAGCTCGTGGCACGTGTTTTCCAGCTCCTGTTTCACTGAAGAATGTATTGAACGAGTCATCACCACCTCCAATAGTTTTATCACTTGGCATCTGTCCATCAGGTTGAATACCATGTTCTAAACAATACAACTCCCAACAAGCATTTCCCATTTGTACACCAGCTTGACCAACATGTACACTGATACATTCACGCTGTAAAATATAAATTAAAATGTTATTCAGTTGCTTACCATTTTGATAAAGTTCAGAAACAACGAAGCAGAGACGAACGTAACACAACGAAAATTTAAAATGAATTTAACAAATATGGCCGCCTCATGTTTTATATAGTTTATTGAAGATCCATTATTTAAATTCTATTGGTTAATTCGTTACCAATACTTTCCGTTGATTGGTTCATTTGATGTTGTGTCTTACATTCTAGAGAATTCTATTAATTCTTACTTCAAACTGGAGTGAATATATTAGAAATTTATGTTATTTGCCAATTTGAATGGATGGTAAGGAAAAAAAAGGAACCAAACCGCCTTATTTCAGCCTGTATTTAGACTTCATATCTGAAATTTCATGAAAGATCCAAGGATAATATTCTCATGAATGACCTGATGTAGACAATAATTGAAATTATTATTATTATTATTTAAACATATAAATATTGGTACAAGGAAGCACCAGATATATATGCGCCGCACAAATCTCATTCGATTTGTGTGAGGGCTGTGATACTGACCAGGTACCCAAATTTAAGCAGGTGGTTTTCTTAGGGGGCCACACCCAGAGCCTTTGACCTAAAGATCTGATCCACAAGGCAGTGGAGCATCGTGAGGAGATGCAGTCTCATGTTAGCCGGTGACTAACGATTGATTCATACACCATTTGTTTTAATAGGATACTGGAGCCTATGTGCACCATTGGTTTGGAATCAGGTTTCTCCAACTCCACTAGGTGGAAACGCCGTGTACACCAACCCGGTTAAAGCACCGGACATTCGTTTTTCTTCCTCTCAATTTCGTAAACAATAGTAATGCCACGAGAAGGCAGATAGTAGGACTTCTCTGTTAGAGACTATATACGCGTGGCCATGTGAGAGCATTTGGAGAGGGAGAGCGGACTCTCCCCACTATCGACCGTACCAGGGCATTTGAGGACAAACTCAATATCTGAAATTTCATTTAATATCCAAAGATAATATTCTCATGAATGACCTGAAGTAGATAATAATTGAAAACTAAGAAAGTATTTGATATGTATACTTTTTGACCTTATAAATGTTCCGTTTTAAGACCTTTGAACTTGATATATGTCTATTAGACGCTAAAGTTGATTAACATTTTGCACAAGTGCTCTACTGTATCTCTATTGACCTGAAAATTAGTCATAATCAATGTAAATCATAGTATAAGTGAGGAATCGACCTAAGTAATACCATAATTTCAAATGAGCACGATAAGAGTTAAAATAGTAAAAATAATAGTATAAATGATAGTGAGAAACTAAACACTCCAAAATATAATTAGTAATTTATCAATAAAATCAAGGATAAACTATAAGAGTATCAATACTCAAAATCTTAAGGAAGATACTTAAACACTTACTTGCTTACTTACACCTGTTACCCCTCGTGGAGGAGCATAGGCCGCTCACCAGCATTCTCCATCCAACTATATCCCAACCAATCCTTTCCAGTTCTTTACAGTTAACATTCATTTTTTTCATATCTGCTTCTATTTCCCAAAGTAATGTGTCCTTTGGTCTTCAGATTTTCAGCTTCCCTTTCGGATTCCAAGTTGGCACTTGCTTCGTGATGCAGTTTGGTGATTTCCACAATGTATGTCCGATCCACTTCCAACGTCTTTTACTAATTTCCTCTTCAGCTGGAAGCTAGTTTGTTAAGGAAGATAATGAATACATAAATCTGAACTAATGTTATCTGTTTTAAACAATGTCACTTAAGTTTTACAGTTATGTATTATCATCAGCTCGTATAAATTAAACCATTAAGTCTACATCTTCATATATGGCCAAAACCACCAGTCAAATACTTTATAGACTTATACCATGTCTTATTTCAACCTTTTTTTCACCCTATTCGTACAGGTTAGAGTAGCAGATATTTTGATAATGCATAGTACATATCTCGCCCACTTGATAAATCAATCTATCATATCTATCTACTATCCCTGGTTGAGACCATCTGTAATAACTGAGAGAAGAAAGACAGAGCCATTTCATAAATGATTCATGAAATAACCATTTTTAAACTACTCAGACTAGTTTATTTTATTCTTCCCTACTAACTGGTAATAATTTGATAAGATAAATTGAACTCCCATCTCGCAAGGTGGGATCGTGGATGTGCACTGCTGAGGAGTCCCACAATGGGACGAAACGGCCAACCAGTGCTTCCAGGTTTTCCATGGTTGTCTAGCTTCAATTGACTTATGAATTCAATTATGAAAATATTGACATCTCCACAAAACTCCTAAAATTATTTAAATGAATCCATGATCGTTTTCAACTCCGCCTGTAGCTCCTCTGGGGGTTACTGCCGGTCCCAAGCCCGGGTAAAGGAGGAGTGTTGGGCATGGGGTTACCGACCCCATCCCGTAGAAAATCAACTCGCTAAAAAAACGCTAACCAGAAAAAATCATTCAAACCTTTCAAACTCTGCTCTGGGAGTTGAAGGAATAATTATGACGTCTCATGATGAAAGCCGAGTTCCTTCGGAAGTCATGAGGCCGATGCACCTTCTTACAATCAGAGCGACAATTTTTATAGGTACATGGAATGTCCGAACAATGTGGGAGACTGGAAGAGTTTTCCGAATTGCTGCAGAAATGAGAAAATACAACCTGGAGGTGCTTGGTATCAGCGAAACACATTGGACGCAGGTTGGACAACAACGACTGTCTTCAGGAGAACTTCTGTTATACTCCGGTCATGAAGAAGAAAACGCCCCACATACACAAGGAGTTGCATTGATGCTGTCCAGAAAAGCACAAAATGTACTTATTGGATTGGAATCTCATGGACCAAGGATCATCAAAGCCTCCTTCAAAACAAGGAGAGAGGGCATTACAATGAACGTCATCCAATGCTATTCGCCTACTAACGACTACGATGAAGACGCTAAAGACCAATTCTACGACAGGTTGCAGTCGATCTTCGAGAAGTGCCCAACCAAGAACCTGATCATTCTGATGGGAGATTTCAATGCCAAGGTTGGAAAGGACAACACTGGATACGAAGACGTCATGGGACAACATGGACTGGGAGAAAGGAACGAAAATGGTGAGAGATTTTCAAATCTATGTGCCTTCAATAAACTGGTCATAGGTGGCACCATATTCCCACACAAAGTCACTTGGATTTCACCAGATCACACTACACAGAATCAAATCGACCATATCTGCATCAACAAAAAGTTCAGGAGGACGATGGAGGATGTGAGAACCAGAAGAGGAGCTGATATAGCATCCAATCATCATTTGTTGGTCGCCAAGATGAAACTAAAACTTAGGAAGCAGTGGACAACGGCTCGGACAACATCACAAAAGTTTAATACGGCCTTTCTTCGAGATGCTGACAAACTCAACAAATTCAACATAGCCCTCAGCAACAGGTTCCAGGCCTTTCATGATCTACTCAATGGAGAGGGAACTACCATGGAGAGCAACTGGGAAGGTATCAAGGAGGCAATCGTTTCAACATGTCAGGAGGTTCTGGGCCAAAAGAAGCACCACCACAAGGAATGGATCACTGTTGGTACACTGGATAAAATCGAAGAAAGGAAGAACGAGAAAGCAGCAATGAATATATCAGCCGAACCAGAGCGGAAAAAGCCAAGGCACAAGCCAAATACACAGAGGCAAACAAGCAAGTAAAGAGGAGCATCAGAACCGACAAACATAAATATGTGGAAGATTTAGCGATGACAGCGGAAAAGGCTGCAAGAGAGGGAAACATGAGACAATTGTATGATACAACAAAGAAACTTGCTGGAAATTACCGTAAGCCAGAAAGATCAGTGAAGAGCAAGGAAGGCTAAGTAATCACCGACATTGAAGAACAACGAAACAGGTGGGTAGAACACTTCAAAGAACTCTTGAATCGACAAGCTCCACTGAACCCACCTAACATCGAAGCAGCACCCACGGACCTCCCAGTCGATGTTGGCCCACCAACAATTGAAGAGATCATCATGGCCATTAGACAAGTCAAGAGTGGCAAAGCAGCGGGACCAGACAACATCCCGGCAGAGGCACTGAAAGCAAATGTAGCGGCAACTGCCAAGATACTCCACATTCTCTTCAGTAAGATTTGGGATGAAGAACAAGTACCAATAGACTGGAAAAAAGGACTTCTGATCAAGATACCAAAGAAAGGCTATCTTAGCAAGTGCGACAACTACAAGGGCATCACTCTCCTCTCAATACCAGGAAAAGTCTTCAACAGAGTATGGTTAAACAAGATGAAGGATTCAGTGGACGCCCAATTTCGAGATCAACAAGCTGGATTTCGTAAAGATAGATCGTGCACAGATCAAATCGCAACTCTACGTATCATTGCGGAACAATCAATCGAATGGAATTCATCACTTTACATCAACTTCATCTACTACGAGAAGGCATTTGATAGCGTGAACAGGACGACACTATGGAGGCTTCTTCAACATTACTGCGCGCCTGAGAAGATAGTCAATATAATACGGAAATCCTATGATGGACTAAACTGCCAAATCGTCCACGGAGGACAACTCACCGACTCATTCGAGGTAAAGACCGGTGTAAGGCAAGGTTGCTTACTCTCAACTTTTCTCTTTCTCCTGGTGATCGACTGGATCATGAAGACGTCAACATCTGGAGGGAATCACGGGATACAGTGGACAGCCAGGATGCAGCTTGACGATTTAGACTTCGCGGATGAACTGGCTCTCCTATCACAAACGCAACAACAAATGCAGGAGAAGACGACCAGTGTAGCAGCAGCCTCAGCAGCAGTAGGTCTCAATATAAACAAAGAGAAAAGCAAGACTCTCCGATACAATACAATATGCACCAATCAAATTACACTTGATGGAGAAGCTTTGGAAGATGTGGAAACGTTTACATATCTGGGCAGCATCATTGATGAACACGGTGGATCTGATGCAGATGTGAGGGCAAGGATCGGCAAAGCAAGAGCAGCATACCTACAACTGAAAAACATCTGGAGCTCAAAACAATTGTCAACCAACACCAAGGCTAGAATTTTCAATACAAATGTCAAGACAGTTCTACTGTATGGGGTGGAGACGTGGAGAACTACGAAAGCCGTTA